GAGTTATAATACGGAGCGGGATATTTCGGAAGCAAATCTAGATGATAAATATTCGATGCTGTCATCACTAGGATAGATACCCCACCCCAGATTTTCATGGAGGCCAGCCTTACATGTAAGGTATCGATAAAAAAAAGTTAGAAAACATCTAATGAATCAACTTCATCCGACAGAGACAAGCATAGTAACAGCGTTTTGGATACAACTTAACTTGAGGTTATGAATTTTTGAATATTTCGACTCTTGTCGATTGTCGAACCTCATTGTGTCAGGCTCTATGCCGAAAATTCGTTTATAATTTTATTATTTGTCAAGTAGGTAGGTTTTTTTTTGTAAGTTTTTGTCAATTGTCATCTCTTTCTAATATCTATTAGCGGCTCTAGTCTTTGAAGGGACTTCAGAATCTCGAGAGAAAACCGTAAGCAATATTTGATCACATATCAGTCGTCCTTAGCGATTATTGGCTGCATCTATCCATCCATCCATCCATCCATCAATCCAAAAAAGTTTGTGAAACTATAATACGTTGATCGCTCTATAATTACACCTGTAACCAATACAATCTATCCGTAGCAGTCGATCATCGAGTTCAAAGGAACTGGCAAAAAGAAAAAGCCTACCCAATCCTCAATGCGAGAAGATTAGCGACTGCTGGCGCCATTCCAGCCATTACTAATATCGAAAAGTCTTTCAAACATCACCAAGTTTACTAAGCAGTTCTTCTTTTTATATGTAAAGTAAAGCTAAAACAAACTACTATTGGCTTACAGCAGTAGAAGTCAGAGGCGAACCATAGAATTGGAGTCGTACCACTTTTATTGTCCTATCGGCAGCCGCAATTTCGGCACCTCAGCATTGTGATTACTGCAGCGGTAAAGGCCCTTTTACCTCGCTACAGATAGTTGGCGCTTCGCGTTAAGGTCGATGCTGCCGCGTAATAATGTAATCCCACGCGGGAATGGCGGTGGAAATGTGTTCATCCGAAACCTTGGTGTCAAATCGTTTGTTTAAGCTAGATTAGCTAGCAGAAACTAGACAGCCAGGAAGATAAACGTGATGTATCCGTCTGACGGCCTGACTAACTGACTTTTTATGCCGCTCTGTGAAAAAACCAGCGAAGTGAACGTCGCAGCAACTCGACGTAACCATCGAATGACGTGAGACGTTGCACGTACGCAATACGAAAAATAAAAGAGAAAGGCAAAAACTTATTAGTTCATAGTCAACGGGTTGATGGGTGCTATATTTATTCAATACGTAACATCGCCGTCGCTGGTCCTGCTGACGGCCTGAGCCTACTGCAACGGCAAATAGCCTGCATGCGAGCAACATTCAGTCGACAGGCCAGCCACATAGGACACTGAGTCAATACAGCTACGCTGTCATTGATATTATGAGACGGCGATGTGCGATCGACCATTTGCCCTGGCCGTTATTATCTAGTCTATGTTGAGCGTTGTCTCCGCGATGAAAGCAGAGACATACAACGATTGCAGCCTCTGCAACATGTGCGACACCGAGTAGATTTCCGTGGAGAAACAATGCAATACTTAATAGCAGTTAGTACAACACGCTGCCCTTAGTTGTCCACTGTTTCCCGCTAACTCAGGCCACATTTACTAGTATCTTGTAATTGTTTCTAGCATGGGTTGAAAATAACTCTGTATCCGTTCGAGTTCAATGTACGACGAAAGGAATCGGTCGAAAATCAGGACTCACGCCACTGTTGGCGAGTGTGTCGGTGTTCGAAATGGTCCGATCGCTGGCCTATCGTACCCTGGGGTTTGTGTATAAAGACCGGCTGCAGTACTGCTTTACTATACGTCACTGGCTAGACGGCAGTAAAAATTCCGCCTAGCATGTTTTGGGTCTACCGTCGACTAGTGGTAGGCGGAAAGTGATATACTCACTCCGAAATCAATATCGAACAGCCGGTTCCAACAGTAGCATTCTCTGAACATAAGATAAGGTCGAAAGGAGACTCCACACGTATGCTCATCAGATAGAAAAGGCATTGACTTGTATTATACATGTATCGTCCACTATAATAGTAAGAATAATTAAAATAACCTGACGATGGCCATTTACTACCAGCTACTGATAAGTAGTCGTATTTATTATGTTAACATATTGTAATGTAAGACAGTGAAGTTCAACGGAATTTACAAAGCCAATTGAGTCAATCATTCATCGTCGAGCAAGGCATCAGATATAAGAAGCCATTGAGTTCTCAGGCTAACGTATCTGAATATACGGAATAAGAACGTTAAATGCCACCTAGTACAGATCTTTAAATTAAACCCGTTGATTCCACCCGGTTGTTTATAGAGTATTGATGTGTTGTTTGAAGAGAATAGCGGTCTCACCGTTACAAGGCTCCTCACACTAGAATACCGTGTCCGCATAGATCATCGCATCTTTTTCGTATATTATATCTATTAGTTATGTGGTGATCGAGCAGTTCCATACGTTCGAAAGGACAGACGCTACCGTCACGTCCAGCTGGCAGTGTAGACCGGTAATTAAAAACAAATAGGTAAGGCATCATAAATAACAATAAATTATGTTCTCTATGAAGGTTCATTTTGGGTGATCTATGATTTATCTGATCAACCACTTAAAACTATGAAAAAATGGCCACCTTAAGTCTTCGCCAGACCTTGTGTGCATACAAAAACTGATCGAACAACCTCCTCAACCCCCCAACAACACCAGCATCGTTAACGTGATCGTAGCAACAATGACCCGATGAATGAATCATTAGCAGGTAACCAACAGCGATAGTGTACATTTCGGTGCTAGTATTTTCGTCTGATTGGTTATAAGAAATTTTACACTAATGTTATTCGACTCTTAATTACTATTATAAGTACTTTTCCGAAATAAAAAAAATCCATTCCAATGTGTGGTGGGGTATTGAGCCGCTGGTGGCACCTTAATTGCTTTGACCCTCAAATAGTCGAAGATTCATTAAAATCCATAAAAACGTCAATGTTTGTAGATGTGAAGCGGTTCTTGATGTTTTTTTCGTGTAGAAATATGGCAAGCGATAAAAGTAGCCTCAAAACTAGTATGGTTTCCAGCTAGATGATCACAGAATCCTATAGGCGCCTAGCAAGTCTCAAATACTTCCCCGTTAAGCGAGCTTTGAACAATGTAGAGGACGAAAATAAGCAACTGGGGTGCCCATTTCATTGGAAATAAACAGCAAACAGGATCAATCTAAAGATCTACTAGAAAGCCAAGCTGAATGAGTGCGACCCATCTTTTACCTATTGATCTACATATTGATAGGCCGCGTTTTTTCAGGGAGTTTAGATTTTTGAGATGGAATTCGCTGATGCTTAAGGTCAGCTCGATTTCATCGAAAGCTAAGTAATTACGCGTACAGGGAAAAGTACACTGATGTCAATTAAACACCCCATAGCGTTTCCTCCAATTGACCTAAATGTAAATAATGAGATAATAGCATTCGGCTCGCAGGACTATGTCCTATGATTGATTTATTTCAAAATCCTAGCTTCTTCACTGCGCACTATCAGCGACTTCGATCGAAAAAAACCGCTAGTATTTTGAGAGTAATAGAGCGCTTTTATTAGACTGTCGATGGCAGTTATCTTCAAGAGACTATTATCAATATATGCCTCGTTGAAGATCGAAATAGTAGAAATACGTACGATTACTGTGAAAAGAATAGCCCAAATGAGCTTTTCATAGTAAAATGGCATAATTTCGCCTTGCGTAGCGAAAATCATTTAAGCGACGTTTAAATATCTTCTGTTACTTTTAGAACGCTTAGAATTATTGCAGTAAACCTTCGGAAGCTATAGCCGGCATCATATAATGGTAGTACGATTATACTGATGGTAACAGGAGTATCTAGGTAGTAATACGTTGAATATAATTCAATTTTAGACTCAGCAGAATTTAAGTTTTATCCAAAACGGTTCGGGAGGATTTCTCAACTAAGCTCGGTACGGAGCTAAGGACCGGTAAAGAATTGACTAAAGGTGTTTGCATTTGTGAGCCATTCAGTTTTACTGCATGGTCCTGTTTCTTCTACCTCGTGTCAACAAAAACCGTTGCAATGGTCACGGCCTGTTAATGGTTTAGATCAATTGATAGTTGAACCATTAAGAACACTGCTCGACAACCTCCGATTACCCTAAGGCACGATTTTTTATTTATAAATAGTCCAGGAACGCATACGTTCTAAAGCCGGCTTTATTACATAACGCCAGTTATGTAATAAACAATCCAATTATTTTCGACTGCTTTAAATGCTAGTGCACCATATTAAACATGGATCCGTTTATTTGTCATTGACATGTCCATGATACCGTATGCAAATTTCCGGTTTCTTACCTTCGGACGTAAGCTATTAACGAGTTTTCTTGCTGCGTTTCGAAACTCAACCGCATCCCGATTGAATCCTTTATTCGCGGTGGGCAAGGCTCAGTGCCAACTAGCGTTGCTCCTCTGAGCTGGCAGGAACTCTGCCTGTCCGTATCGCGCGGAGGAGTTCAAAGAAGGCACAAGCCGCATCACTGTAGTTAAAGCTACTTAGCAATGCGCCTAGTTACGCGTCGCATCGAGCCCTAGAGGCACTGGTGGCATCGTCAGTCGTGGTCAGCACAGGCCCCGTCACATCTGGCCACAAGCAGAGAATAATAACATTTATATAAATAGTGTGCCTCAATGTTACAGGTGACCAATTAATTCAACGAACACCTATTTGCATTGCCCTACTGCTGATATGACTGGTGCAATTGTTACAACAAATATTTCTATGTCATTATTCTATGATATGATGCCAGCCGTATCGGAATATATTTAATGTGTTTCGATTTGGTGGGATGAGCGGCGGAGGAGGTACGCATAGGGGCAAGCGGCTTCTTCCTAGACCAGATGTGTTTTGAAGGAATCGTTCCTTGCATTAACGCTGTTCAAGAATCAGCTTCTTTCTTCGTTGAGCTACGTGCTCGGGCCGCTTCTAAGATAAGTTGGCCCAGCTGATTGCATCGACGTGCCTCATCAAGACGTTGTCAGAAGATCGACACAAATCTAAAGGGAAAGATAAGTAAGTAACCATCTAAAACGTTGACGTCTGATGCTACGGTTAAGCACTGCTCCGGATGGCTGGCCTGTGGCGTGGATCAAAGTCTGCCTACCCCGCCTTTGAACCTGGCCCATTTCGTGTGCTTATTACTACAGTATATAAGTTATAGCGGAACCATTACGGGGGCGAAGAGAGAGGGGACTAGGATTTACATAAATAACTAGCTTTCAGTGCTCCAATAGGCTCACGGAGAGGTGTCGATACAAGATGTTCAAACGCCAAAACTGATGTGTGGGTACGGGAATATCAAATGTGAAAGTCGTGTTAGAACGAAATTTTGGTATGCGTGCAAACAGCGAGCACAGGTCGTTGAAATGGTCTGTTGTACGGTGCAGGACAGAGACTGCGTCGGGAGTTGCAGGGTACAACATAAACAGAAGCAGGTAAAACGGACACATTCATTGAAAAAAAGATACTATTGCTATGCGCTTAGTTTTGTTAGTATGTTGCTTTAGTAAAGCTTTGATTTTTAACTTTGTTTTTTCGCTTTCACTTTAGGCGCCATCGCTGATTCGGATCACTACTCGTCAATATGAACGCTGTTGTTATCATTTGCACCTATATCCATATTACATAAATCCGTAAAGCGTTTCCTTTTTGAAAAGAAACATCCTATTTTACGTGACCGAGCGAATTTGTCATGTAAAATATAATAAGTAACATTTATCTATCGCCATATCTCGATTGAGCTTGATTGCTAGTGTGACACCAACTGTGGTACCCTGAAAAATTTTCTTGCATTTATTATCGTCTAGTAACTGCGTCAGATAGAAGTTATATTTTACCGTTGTCTGCAACTAGCCGACGGCGGACGATAGACAGTTATGGCTCCTTTCAGGGATCAACGCGGTTTAAAGGTTCAGATCTTTGTAATAACGCCTATGTTGTGGGGCAACTGGATAAAGGAAATCATGTCAAATGTCACATGTTCAGTGCAGACAGATTAAACCCAAATAACGGTAAATAAATGATAAATCTCAGTTTAGCGATAGTGGTGGCTGATGATTTTAAAAGTGGAGCATTTGGCTAGGAATAAACGAACGTCTATAAGAGGCCAGCAACAATTTTTACGATAGTACCTAATTAGGATGGATGTTTATAAAAGCGAATTTCAATGTGGGTATATAGTTAGATGCGTGAAAATGGCTGCGGGTAATCAGATGTTGCATTTCTGTACATTTCTGTTCAGGATTTGCATTGGATGTGTGTTGGCAACGTAGGACGACGGTGACGCCTGATTGGATCTTGGCGAAACATGTCTTTAGGCTCCGGCGGATATTGGCTCACCTCTGACCCACACCGAGCCGGCGCGAAGATAAAGAGTGTCCGCAGGAGTTATTTCTGGGTCAAACCATCTTGGTCGTTTGCGGATCGCTCGGGCATTGGCTCTATGGCGGAAGCAATCTAATACGACAAGCCAAAGCCAGTGTTTAATATGGCCAAGCGCAAATGTTGTCAAAATTTTCGAAACAAAATTAAGATGCTTTGTCGAAGCATTGAATGTTTGTCTTCGCGTTATATACAATATGTATTCACTCCTGTGATCTCATTCTTGGTCAGGCAGAGTGAGCCGAACAGCGGAAATCAATTTCACACGCCTCGACTACGGTCAGCATGGCATGGGAGTGCTATTCTTCGCTGCGCCACAGCTGAGAAACCACGTATTACATTATTACGTATCGTTTGTACGTACCTGCACGTGCATAAGTAAGTTTACAGCCGTTGATTGCTTATTTTTTTTTTGTCGGAGTGATGTACTTTTTTTGCTGTGCTATGTTCTGCTATGACTGGTTCTAAGGATGTTATGGCATCTTGGTCAGAAGATGTCTTCCATTTGTAACCGACGGCAACAACCCTGTTGGAAGCGATTCACGTCCACCTGCCAACAACAGTCACATTAGTCATCTGTATCACAGAGTTAGAGACACGATAATAGTGAACATAGGTTTTCACCTGGCTATGATAAATGAAAGGATCTATACAGATTTTCTACGTACAGGTTCGGATAGTCTATCTCTCCTAAAAGTCTTTCCGCAGCGGACTATGGCGGCAATGACGCTTCGAAAGCTGCCCATCTACTGGCTACCTGTGGCCGCACAAATAGGAAAAATCTGTCCTGACACGTCGAGGCTGATGATGACACCCACAGATTGTTCATAAGCTCCGAATATGGTTACTAAGTGAATTGATCTTTCTCTGAGTTGCCCCAACCTGAGTCTCGTAAGCGCTTGGCAACACGAGAGACGTCACACTGCTAGCAGTGTTTCTATGGTTGTGTCGCTTTATATGCTTGCCTCTCGATTACTCAAGAAATGTGTTACAAAGAGCTTTATGGGGCATAAATGACTCATAGCCGATACATGTGGGCTTTCAACTTCTTACTATTGCCATATGGTTCTTTTTTGAGAACGTGTCCATGCCTCGTTTTCTTGATTGAGCCATATAGCTGGAATCATATAGTCATCGCTGGTGGAGTTGATCCATGCGCGTTTCACAATTCAGTGAATATTCAAACTGTTTCTTTTGTAACAAGCCAGGTTACAAGCTGAGAAAAAGTTAACGTAGCTTACCTATTGCCGTTTTATTAAGCCTGTCTTATTCTATGCACCCGGCTGGCGTTTCAAGGATCTCTGTATACGTAGCGTGATTGTTTTGTATCTATTACGCGGCTTGGTGTCGATACGAATAACTAAGGCAGATAGCGTTTGCAGGCCATCAAATCGTAAGGTAATAACGTAGTTATTCTAAGTAAATAATATTTCGTGTGCTACCTCTGATACTGCCGTTAGGTGCTGCTCCAGGCGGCTGCTCAACGAAGCGTCATGGTGCATACGATGGGTAGGTCCTAGCACGAGGCTTGAATCAAACGATATTTCTCATTACTAATAATTTAACACTGAAGATCATCACGTCTCAATCTCAATAAAATGTCGGCCAACTGACGCTCAGCGTAATAGATCTCTTTTGTATTTATACGTTTTATTAAAAACCAATACGCACTCCAGGATCTTGTTCCTGTTACGCATCAGGTTGTCATGGGGCAGAATTGGAATGGGCACTGTCAATCTGCCAGTTGGACATAACTGCCTTTTTAGACAAGCTTGCAAAAACACTTACTGAATAACGTGAGTACGTAAAGAAGTGAATCTTAGGAATATCTAAATGCGCGACACAGGCAACACAATGCCGATAAAAATACTTGACACATTTACTTCAATGCTTTTTGCCCATAAGACATATTAACCGACCACGCAGAACGTCTGTCGTTCTAGTCGAGTTTCTATTTGGTATACAATTGAACAGAATAGCCGCGTACGTACTTAACTATCTTTTCCTATTTGATATTAAGCGAGCGGCTGTTGCGTGACCCTAAGAGTGACTCTTGAATTGCTTAACAATCAAGCATGGCCTCGCTGGCCTGTGTCCGTTAGTTCCGAAAGCAGAAGTGCTTTCTTTTCCTAGTTTCAATATAACAGTGACAGTGATGTCTTAATGACTTTGCAGCCATTCCCTGAAAGATTTCTACACATCGAATAAGCGAGTAGTATAGGCTGCTTGCTCTTGGAACTAATGACAACATAGGTACTTGTTGCGCATCACCACTTACAACAGTTTACTTGGGGCATTTGATAAATCCGTTGCTGGGGCTAACTTTCGCCGCAGGCGGCGTGGAAGTCTGGGAAGAACGGTATCAGAAAAAAAAAAAAAAAAAACGTAAATGCGAACGAATGCTGACGGCAATAACAAGAGGGCCAAATCGTGTCAACGCACAAACATGAAGCCGTCGACACTGTTGTGTCCATCAAAGATGCCACGTTGAATTGGGCATGCCAAATCGAAACGGAGAGCGTGTCGACTTGTGTAACTTTTGAACCCTTATGCGTTTTTCGGCTGCTACGATTATTGTTAAAATAATTGATAAATTAATTCTATGTATAATAGAGCAGCAGTGTCAGCGATAGCGGCTGTAACTAAAGTGCAACACATTATTTTCTTTAGAATTAAGTGCTTGAGCCCGCCCGCCCGCTCGCCCGTCCGTCCGTTCATTAAAGCTGATTTTTATGAGTCGTTCTAGGAAAATCTGTGTAGCAGATGGGGCCCATTGGGTTAATACTTTTGCCCTTTAAAAGACAAAGATTGCTTGTTTCTCATAGAGTGTAATATTCATTTGCTCAGTCGTAGACTTTCGTAACAGTCATTCCGTTCTTATTTTAGATGTTTAAGGGTAGCGTCGTACTGGCGTTTCAAAAACTGCCGCCAGTATGATACGCCGTGATGTATCGTCAAATATTTAGTTCCGTAAAAATTGTGTTGCATAAACGGTTGTGTTGTAGAAGAAGCTATTAGATCCTTGCGCTTCAAGGAAATTGAAATGTACACTAGAAAAGCAGTTGCCGGTTTCCGATCAGAGGCCTGTCACTTACGCGAAGTATTACAGTAAATGGGTCCCCCGTATATCGGATCGATCATGGTAATTACTTCAACTGAATGTGGTTGCTGTAGTTAGTGTTTTTTTCCATTGCGACGGCAACTGTTATAACGCGAATGATAATTTTAATAACATAAGTTTGTCTGTATACACATGTGCTTGATACAATTTTAATAATCGAAAGCATTTAACGCGAAAGCCAGTCAAGATTGAGGCGGCTGGCTTCATTTCGATACGAGTTTTTCTTTACAGAACTGGAGGAAAACAACGAGGCGGCCAGCTTCCAATTGTGTTTTCATAAACTTTGTGTGTGTGTATCTGGGTGCGTGCGTTTGTGTGAATGTGTTTGTTATGATTAAATTGTGTGAAGTCTTGTCGTGTTCAGTGGAACAACTGATGGACTGCTGATAATTGTTGGGCCCCTGAACAAGAAATAATTCTAAGCACGTTTTTAATTAATTCTATACAATTTTTGGCCAGAATTCTTTTGAGTGGCGCCATCAGGACAACCGGCATTATCGAATTGCTGATCTCTGAATAGAATGTGGACCCTCGATATATTCTATGGATTATGACAGCGAATAACTACTAGTATAAAAAAATTCCTCCTGACCAGTATATGATATAAAAGTCCGCAGGTATATCAGTCTCATCAGGTATCGGATTAAGAAACTCGTTTTTTCGTAAACGTAAGCAGAAAGCAAACCTAACTGTCAACTAAGGACGCCGTCCTTTCGCAAAGTTATACGGTACATTTTTCGTAGCCCTGACGTTAGGTTTTCTTATTGCATATTACTGTTGTATATGCGTCATCAAGTACGATGACCACGGTAGCCTTATCGACAACTATTTACTGTTGTTTTTTATCAATCGATGTCTGCTATATATATCTGAAAAACATCTCTGAACAGTTGCCTGGCTAGTGGGCTATTATTACATGACAGACCATAATATGAATGAACTAAAGCACGTAAGCTATCGGAAGTGTCGATAGCCCAGTTTGTATTACATACTGTCGTAATTATCTTCTAAATGTTAGGCTTTTTTCAATTTGAATAGAATGTTATGTTGTTAAAAAAAAATGGACGGTAAATTATCGATCCGGACCTTCAGCTAGGCCAATAGGCCAGCTGGAGTTCTTCAAATGAATTCAAGTGGCCTTTAAGGAAAACCAGCTATTGGCGAACAACGACGAGCTAAAATCAAAGAAGATCATATACAGAGATCGACTCATTTTCCCACTTACATACAAGCGCTACGAAATTGCTTCGTTTCAATCACGTTTGAGCCCCTTCATCTTAAGTGGGACCTAATTAATTATCGTATACAAAATGGTTAGGAATTGATACGGCAACAGGCAGGTATGGCAACTTGCTGTTTTACTGACAAAGTAGGTTCAGTAGCAGTCGGACCTTTCGCAAAAGGGTCAGCAGGTTAATCGGTAACGCTGAAATTGACCTTAAAGCTTTCGGGCTTGGTTAGATTCAGATAACGATCCTTAGAATTGCCTTTATCAACAAATAGTCATTTCGGTGATTCATTACCGTAAGTTCTATAAAAAAAAAAAATTATGAAGTTATTATTATGGGCATAAAGGATGTACGTACGAAGCCGATATTTGAACGAAGCCAATATTAGGGAAAAAGACACAATTTCGTAACCTTGAACCCTTTGTTGCACAGTCTTCACTCAACTATCCACCAAATTGTCATGTCTAACAAGTCATCTTGATTCAGATGTGTAGACAACATTCAACACGGTAACTGTTTTATCTGCAACATCTCTACACATCTAGCTCCTGGTTGCTCCGAGATGTTCTATTGTTAGATGGATATGACTATTTGTTCTAGGTGGGTAAAATAGATTTGCCGAAATAAATGAAAAATTATTAGGGTTCAAGAAGGGAACTATATAGCAATGCACAAAGACTGCGGCGGCAAATTAACTTCGTCTAGCAACGTTGTCCTTCGCTGATAAAAATTGATTCTGTCAAGAGTATCCGTCGTTTCGGTAGTCTCGTAGACACAAAGCTCTTACAAGTTGCCTGCTGACAGACTAGACCAGGGTGAATGACGGATCTGTCATGTGTGTTTATCATATATACCAGCTAAAAGATTACTGGTCCTAGATAAATCGAATCTCGATACCGCATAAAGGGAAATGTTACATTATTTCTATTAGTACCATTCTACAGAATGCGATTAATACCAGACAGAACAGATATCTGTTCCGAAATCCAGAAGTATGACACATTTATAAATGACGGATAGATTTTGTGCCCTCTCGTGCTGAACAAGCATATGAAACGATTGAATGAGTCCACTCTCCTCCATAGAGGAAAATGAACTGGTTTAATAGGACAATGCCAATTGTCCTATCTAACACTCGGCTTTATATTTTACAGCTACGATCGTTCTCGATTTTCAGCAAATGCTGCGCTT